TCCTTTAGGAGCAAAAGCATCATCCAGGAACGGGCTGGTCCTTTAGGAGCAAAAGCATCATCCAGGAACGGGCTGGTCCTTTAGGAGCAAAAGCATCATCCAGGAACGGGCTGGTCCTTTAGGAGCAAAAATGTATCAGAAAATAATTGAAAGATATTTTAAAAGATTTAGGGAATCTGGAGGAATTTTGGTGTGTGAAGGACAAAGGTGCAAGCCTAAGTTGATTAACCTTGACCTCCGATCCCTCAGACGTCATTCATCTACAATCCATGAAAAAAACCATGTGGGCTCAGGAGTACTTCGGCAAACCTTGATCAAGCATTACAATAGGTAATTACATCCACAGATACCAGTTTAAGCTTTACTGTGCCAAAAGGAGACCGTATGTTAACTGCATCCAGAAGCACCGTTGACCTTTCTGGTCTGAGAGTTATCGGGGATGGAACATCACACAGTGGAAACATGAATTGTTGTCAGACAAATCCATGTTTCAAGTCTTTTTTTGGATGATATGGGTGCCATGTGCTCCGGATCAAAGAAGAAAAGGACCATCCAGACTGTTATCAATAACAAGTCCAAAAGTCAGGGCCTGTCATGGTCTGAGGCTGTCAGTGCCTTTGGCAAAGGCAGCTTACACTTCTGTGATGGCACCATTAATGTTCAAAAGTACAAAGAGATTTTGGAGAAACATATGCTGCCTTCATGATGACATCTTATCCAGGGACTTCCATGTATATTTCACCAAGATCACATTCTGCACACATTATAACGGCATGGCTGTGGAAGAAGAGGGTGCGGGTGCTGGACTGGCGTGCCTGTAGTCCGGACCTGTCCCAATGTGTGGTGCATTTTGAAATGCAAAATACAATGAAAAAGACCCTGTACTGTTGCACAGCTTAAGATGTTTGCATGTTACACTAAACCAAAATTACACTAGACCAACTGGGAAAGTGGGTTGCTGCTGGAAGAGGTGTTGCTGTGGCCAACAGGTTAGGTAGGCCGTCCTGTGGTCTGTGTGGATCCAAATGTCCCAGTCCAGTGATGGGGACACTGTGCTGTAAAAATGGGGCTGTCCTTTGGATAAGACATAAAACCGAGGTCTTGACTCTGTGAGGTCATAAAAGATCCCTGGGCATCTTTTGAAATAGATGGTGGTCCCCCGATGTCCTGGCTAAAATCGTCCACTATGGCCCTATCAGATCTGGCCCCTATATCTAAATGGTGAATACTTTCCTGCCCCTTCACCACTGTAGCTACTGTGTGGTGAGCGTACTGGTGCAGAATACCTGCCGTCGCATCATCCAGATGGGGGCTTTGGAGTGGTGGCGGTTGAACTGGCTCCCCATTGGTTCTGTGGTGTCTTGAAAAGCGCTATATAAATGTAACTTTCATTCATGCAAATTGTTGTTTTCATTTTTAAGTTTAACATACATCCCAGCTTTTCTGATTTGGGGTTGTACTTTAAGCTAATCTAGACAGAGTTCTGATTTTGTGTTTCAATTTCTTTCGCAATCATAATACAGTTCGTAATCTGTGGTATCCTTTACTTCCTGTCTGGGAGCAGCCCGTCAAAAAAGCTGGTAAGTGTCTCCTTTTTCTCATCCTCTGCCGGCCAAGTCAGCGCCTCTGCCAGCAGGTTGTGTGAAGGTGTCATGTCTCCACCTTCTGGCTTATGAAAATATGCCTGCGTTACTTAATGACTGGCCACTAAAATATGCCTGCGTTACTTAATGACTGGCCACTAAAATATGCCTGCGTTACTTAATGACTGGCCACTAA